ATGGATCATTGATCCACCAGGGGGTGCAGTGGGGTTCCACACTGGAGCTCATGTGAATAAAGTCTGATACAGTACGGTAGATTTATGTCTGGTACTACTGTATAGCGGATCTTTGTTAAGATCCATATGTCACGGATAGGATCATAGTCTGTGCTAAATAAGACATGTAATCATTTACAAAACATCACCATGTTTTTATTTAACAAAATAATGTTGTTTAGTCCAAAACTACTGTACAAAAAACATCAGGAAGCCCGCCGGCTCCAAAAACGAACGAGAGGAAATGCAGCCGGCTCTCGATGTTTAATCCTAATTTAATCATCATCTTCACCACGATCATTTATGTTTATGTTCGCCGAATTGACATGAAATCACTGACAAATATGAATATACTGTATTCAACTTCATTAAAACGTTATTAACGTGCCTAAACTCAGTAATTCACTAAGAATATTTATATTTTAATGGAGCCTTGTCAGGCAGATCAGGATCTTGATCCCTGGGTGTTCTTTTCTCCATAATGACCAAGTCGCTGCACATTATCCCGCTTATTACATTATCACATTCTCAACAAAGTAACGACATGACTCCCAATATTAATTGAAATGCTTTTATGGATTTAGAAAATGTTTTTATTGATTTAAAAAATAGTTGTATTGATTTAAATTGACATGCATCCGCTAAGAAAAATAGTCCGTTGTTACCGTTTTTTAAACAGTCAGAATGAAACGGCAGCTTTCAGCTGTGTGTTTACACACCTAATGGCCCATCAGCCACAGCTCTCCCCCCCCCCTGATCTTTCTTCTCCAGCAGTTAAAGGGGACCTATCATGCAAAATGCACTTTTGTACGTCTTTTATACATGAATATGTGTCCCCGGTGTTCCAGGGAACTCACCAAGTGTCAGAAAACACAACCCTCTCTATTTTCCTCCATACCCAAATCTCTAAAAAAGGGGCTGCAACGGATCTGATAAAAACTGATCCAGATTTGAACACTGTCCTGACGTCAGGACGGTGGCGCTACGGCTATTGGGCCAACTCCACCAATCAGGAGGAGACAGCCACGGCCATTGCCGTTCAAAAGCGCTGGAGACGCTGTAGTACATATGCCAGGCCTGTAAGTGGCGCTGTAGTCTGCCACAAAAGCAGCAAAGAAGACTTCCCGCCCATAGTTACCATGGTTACCCTTCTGTTTATTCTCCGCTGTGGCTTTCTTTCTCCCTCCCCGAGGCAAGCGTTTGCTCCCGCTGCTTTAATTCAATGCAATCCCTCCCCGTCGAGGCAAGCACTGTAACTCTCTCCGGTTAGTCCACCAGCAGATGACAAACACCCACCTCTCCGCCTCTTCCAAGGAACCAGGGGACCGTGCGGCAGAGTTTCAGTTTCAGTTTCTTTCGCTGGTCAAGATGTCCGTTAAAGTTTAAATCTTCCAGACAAAATGAGAAAAGTGCCGGTCAAAGGTCTTCTTTGTTATTTATTGAGCTTTAAAACAAATGAATAACGACTCTATATAATAAAACACGGAGGACGGAGATCTCTTTTTCTCCCCCTCTTCTGACAGCCCAGCAGCTGATCAGAGCACGTCTCCCCTCTCCTGCAGGGGGGCGTGGTCAGCAGAATCAGACCCCTAGACAGCAAACAGCACATAGAGCGAAATGAGGCATGGCTAAAATGCATGATCTGTTTGGTATTTTGAAAACAGAGACGTATAAATATACCTTATATAGGTATGGCCCTACAATATATCATTTACATATAGCATGATAGGTTTCCTTTAAGTTAACTGTAGGTTACTCTGAGTGACAAGCTTACAGTTAGTGAAGTAACACTTTCTTTGTGTGAGTCACGACCTGGCTGTTTTAACAAAATCATATGTTCGCCGAATTGACATGAAAGCACTTATTATATAACTTATTTTCTAATTACCTTAAATAAACTCACTAATTAATGAAACCAGTTCAATACGCATTATTCGTATTCTTATCATTCTTTATGAACGCAGTAATGGTAAGGTATCTAATTACTTATTTAGAATGGTGATGTGATAGATGTTAAGGACTAACGTTTATAATAAATAGCCTAGTATTTATCCATATTCATAATAATATTTATATATTCAACAACCATTTTTAATGTAAAAGGTTCATAAAATGTGACACTCAGTTGACTTTTATGTTTTTATGTTCAGTGAAGTGTTTTATTATTTTCGGGACGGGGAGACGTGTGTGATTAAAAATGAGTGACCAAACTAAGTCTATTCAAATTCAAATTCTTGACGGGAAGAGCGGTGTACATGTAAATGGGTGGCATAGGCTATATGCATTTGAAAAAAAATAGTACCCCCCTCTGAGTGACTATCTGTTGACTTCACATCTTGTCACAAACCAGGGGACTTTACTTCCTCTAAAGCTGGCTACACACCAACCCGATTTTGGGAGTCAGAGGCCGTCAGAGGCAGTCGGGCATTCGCGGCGCCCTACTCAGGTTGGTGTGTCGCGCACCGTCGTCTCTTTACGGCACCTTTTCACACCTCCCGCGGCCGATTCAACATGTTGAATCGGCCGCGGGAGGTCAGAGAAAGTCGGCCCAAGCAATCACTCTGATTGGCTGTTCACACTACCGCTGCCTGCTGGTAAGGACAGTTATTGCCACTCGTCGACTGAAGTATTTGCGGTGTGTTCGTAGGCGGGCGGCGTAGTGGGCGACGTAGCCGACGCAGGCGACGTAGCTGACGTAAACGTCGGGACGCCTTCGGTACGCGTTCTTTGGTCTCAGGTGGGTGTGGAGCGGCCTTTAGTGTGTTTATTTAAGGTAATTATAGAAGCCCTATTTTATCAGTATGTCTGCACAGCAGGTAAAACTACATTAAAACAGAATTGTCACCATTGTTTCTTTAATAGTTATTAACATTAGATATTTTAATGAGATGAATTACTTGTCAAAATATGTTCTTACAAATGTTTTTTTGACTGAATGCTTATAAACATATTTATTATTTATATTTTATTCTCTTCACTCAAGTGTGATTCTGAAGTCGTCGATTTTCAGGCTTGCTCTGTGGGTTTTTTCATTCATCTTCTGCAACTTTGAGAGAAAGATGCTTCATTTCCACCTCCGCCAATTAGGGTGGAACTTTGTTTTGGTTTGTTTTTTGTTTAGCTGTTGGACAGAAGGTTTCCAGAAAATATATTGGATCTTATTTCATGAAACTTGTTGAAAGGGTCTAGTAAGAGCCAAGGAAAAACCCAAATACATTTCTGGAGCTAATCAGAATCATGAGGAATCATTCACCCATTAGTTTCAGGTATCTCTTTCAACCTCATTTGACTCAATCATAGCAACTTTGGAAGAAAACTAGAATGATAGTAATTCTATTTGCATATTCATTTTCCTCATAAACACCAATATGTGGATAAATAGGTGTATTGTACCAAATCAGAATTTCTTCATTGGTCATGCCAGGTCAACAACATTTAATAGAAAACATGTCATCCATGGACCCAGGGTGCTGTATTGCCAAAGATGTACTTTGTTGATCCAAAATCGTGAAATTGTGTTGTTATGGAAAAAAAAAAAAAATTTAATTTCCGGCGCCCCCCATAGGTTGATGCGCCCTTAGCATTTGCCTATACTGCCCTGAAAATCAGACCTGTTTTTTAAATGAAATCTGACAGCAGGCAGGCAGCTCTGATCACCTAATGATAAATGCGCCACACCTAATCGCCGGCCATTCAGCCACAGCTCCCTCTACTGTCTGCAAATCAAGCTGTAGACGGTGTGAAAGCGCCTATTTTAAAATAATGGTCAGAATGTGAGCCATCTGAATTACCGTGGGACAGCAGAGAACTCTAAACTAAAATGTTCAATCAATAAAGTAACATCTTATCTTATCTTAATAATATCTTCATATTAATAATAATAATAAATCATACAGTATGTGTCCGAAAGGGAGCAGGAGGAAGCAAACACCAAAACAAAGATTACAAAAAATATACTGCATATTAAAGCAAACGATTGTAAAGGTAAAAGTATGAGCATAAAAAATAAAGACATTTACATTATTATGATTATTTAAAATATAAAGACTATATATTATTGAATTACAAGATTGATCTAAAATATTGATGTGTTCAAATGCTCTTCAAAACACAACTGAAGTACTGAAAGTCCATGGAACTTGTCTTTCTGTATTTGTGAATGAAGCGCCATCTCCTGGTTAAATCCTGAAATTGAAAATCTGGCCACGCCCTCTTGGAAAATAGTGGGAGGGCTTAACATTCCCAGATGCTGGGATCCTTTGGGTCTTTGGCAGGAAGCTGTTGGCTGGAGTCCTTTCTCGAGTGCTACATCTGTAACTACCACAATATTCTTTACTCTTTGCATTACATAACGCTTATTTTATGTAATATATAATACTACAACACTATAGCTACTTGCTAACGGTTTAGCTTACCTGCGCGATTCAAAGTAACGTCAACGTAGCTGTAATTTACGCTTTGCTTACATGTTCGCGTAACTTGGAAGTTTACTGACATTGAGCTTTGTTGGCTCGGAGGACTGTCTTCTTTTTGAGGAAAACATCATCTTGTGTTACCTGTCAGCCAATAAGACACGTTTATTTCCATGCAACTCTCTGATTGGTCTGGTGTCTTGCCTCTGTTGCATTCACTAAACGCAGTAAAGGACAACCCTGCCGTCCTCTCAAGTGTCAGGAGGTCCAGCTAAAGCACGGTCAGGAGGTCCAGCTAAAGCACGGTCAGGAGGTCCAGCTAAAGCACGGTCAGGAGGTCCAGCTAAAGCACGGTCAGGAGGTCCAGCTAAAGCACGGAGAACTGTCCTCACTAAGCAAGCGTTATATTCTCCTGTAAGAATAACTAATACAGGAAGGAGCATTTGAATGAGAAAGAGGAAGAAATGATAAACAAACTCAAAAGTAGAAACTTTAGCAGAAAATGGACAAGTATGTGAAAAAATAAGACATTTGATGTAATGCGTCACAATAAGCTGACAACTCTTTATTTAGCTTTCCACAAAATAACAATAAAAACACGGTGAACAAACAGGAAGGGGAGGAGTTTCCAGGAGAGGCGGGACTAATATAAGGTGAAGTGGGAAGGAGTGAGCGGGGCCTCAGATGAATAGAGGCGGGGCGTGGGGAGAAGTGGGCGGGGCCTCAGATGAATGGAGGCGTGGGAAGAAGTGGGCGGGGCCTCATAGGAAGGCGGCTCACTCACAAATACAGTGGGTGTGGTCTCAGATGAACAGGGGCGGGACATGTGAAGGAGTGGGCGGGCCTCAGGTGAAGAAGGCTGGGCCTCGTGGGAAGTGGGCGGGGCCTCAGAGTAAGTGGACAGGAGAGGAAGAGGGCGGGGCCTCAGAGGAAGGCGTCGCACCACTCACTCAGACACTGACTGCAGGACCCCGCCTGGCGGCTGTTGGCTCCGCTGGCGTCCTTCAACCACTCAGAAAACATCTCAGAGTCTTTCTTCAGCAGCAGGAACTGACCCAGCACCACGTACGCCTGGGGGGGAGAGAGTACATCAACAAACTTGAATGTAATGTTTCTAAGTATGTCAATTTAAAAAGGTGTTTTTTAAGTGTTTTATGGATAAAGGGCAGGCCCGGACTGGCCATCGGGAGGACTGGGAGGTTTCCCGATGGCCCGGCCTGTTAAGTGGCCTGCTGGCCTGAGGATTTATTTTTGTATGTATTGTGAACGCAACGCTGCACAAATGTGGGTCTGCCTCACACAGGGTGACTGTCTGTCTACATCAGAGATTCCCAGTCGATCGCGAGATGTGTCTAAAAATAGAACAACAATATTCTGTTTTATCGTTAATGTCCTATAACATAATCTTCCTGTGCCAGAATAATGCACTTGAACGCATCAAAGCTTTGTGATTGGCGTGACCCCATGTGTCGGGGCATGGCTGGTGGGCAGTGGGCACTAGCTAGCTGACGTTGTCCGTGTCAACAGGAGTGACAGTCCGCACACACAAGACCGCAATTTTGGCAGAAGCAAAAAAGCCCCAAATATATCATTTTCACTCCGAGTGGGAGGATGATTATTTTTTTGTTTATTCCAATTCAAAGTCCATCTGTCTCTCGTCTGCAATGCGAGCGTGGCTTTACCGAAGAAGGGTCATTTAGGAGCGGCATTTCAAAACGGTGCACAAACGCTACGAGACGAGTTCCCTCCTAACTCTGCCCCTTTCACACCAAGGCTTTCCCCTTCTAGCTCCGTGCTTTTCTGGTTCAGAACTGGTTCTTCGGTTCAGCTCCCGCTGTGTTCACACCGCCCAGAGCCCGACTGGTGCTGCCGCAGCTGCGTCATGACGTCACAGCTTACGTCGCTGATTTTCTCCCCAACGGCGCTAACTACAACAACAACAACAACAACAACAACGGGCCGGGGACTGCGTCGGGTCGATGATCGTGTTGCTTTTAATCATACGAAGCCAGATTCAATTAAATAACGACTTCTCCAACCTTATACTTTTCTCCAGAGTGCCGTGGTTCATTGTTTATTAATGTGTTTCATTTAGCGCCCGCTGCAGTGCTGGCTGCTCTTCCACGGGAGTTTATTGTCCCGTTAGCTCCGGGTTAGCTCACACGGCTCTAAAGTATTCACTGCTTACATCTGATATCTAACTCCTTCAGCCTATTTTCAGCTGCAGAAACCATTCAACTATTACATTATTCAGCTATTTCAGGACATCAAGGCTATACATGTTTTTTTTAAACCTTTTCTTTTAAATATTAAGCTTTTTCTGCATTTTCAGCTAAATTCAGCCACAAATGTTCACAGTTTACAGCATTCGCACGCATTTTCTGCAGGAAATGCATTTTCTAGTTTAAATAGCAGAGGTGGGGACTCGAGTCACATGACTTGACTCGAGTCACATGACTTGACTCGAGTCACATGACTTGACTCGAGTGTTTTCTCAGTGTCTTCTCAGTGTTTTCTAAATGTTTCCTCAGTGTTTCCTCAGTGTTTCCTCAGTGTTTCCTCAGTGTTTCCTCAGTGTTCTCTAAGTGTTTTCTAAATGTTTCCTCAGTGTTTCCTCAGTGTCTTCTCAGTGTTTCCTCAGTGTTCTCTAAGTGTTTCCTCAGTGTTTCCTCAGTGTTTCCTCAGTGTCTTCTCAGTGTTTCCTCAGTGTTTCCTCAGTGTTTCCTCAGTGTTTCCTCAGTGTCTTCTCAGTGTTTCCTCAGTGTTTCCTCAGTGTTTCCTCAGTGTTCTCTAAGTGTTTCCTCAGTGTTTCCTCAGTGTTTTCTCAGTGTTTCCTCAGTGTCTTCTCAGTGTTTCCTCAGTGTTTCCTCAGTGTTTCCTCAGTGTTTCCTCAGTGTCTTCTCAGTGTTTCCTCAGTGTTTCCTCAGTGTTTCCTCAGTGTTTCTCTAAGTGTTTCCTCAGTGTTTCCTCAGTGTTTCCTCAGTGTTTCCTCAGTGTTTCCTCAGTGTTCTCTAAGTGTTTCCTCAGTGTATTTCTAAGTGTTTCCTCAGTGTCTTCTCAGTGTTTCCTCAGTGTTTCCTCAGTGTCTTCTCAGTGTTTCCTCAGTGTTTCCTCAGTGTCTTCTCAGTGTTTCCTCAGTGTTCTCTAAGTGTTTCCTCAGTGTTTCCTCAGTGTTTCCTCAGTGTCTTCTCAGTGTTTCCTCAGTGTTTCCTCAGTGTTTCCTCAGTGTCTTCTCAGTGTCTTCCTCAGTGTTTCCTCAGTGTTTCCTCAGTGTTCTCTAAGTGTTCTCTAAGTGTTTCCTCAGTGTTTCCTCAGTGTTTCCTCAGTGTTTCCTCAGTGTTTCCTCAGTGTTCTCTAAGTGTTTCCTCAGTGTTTTCTAAGTGTTTCCTCAGTGTCTTCTCAGTGTTTCCTCAGTGTTTCCTCAGTGTTTCCTCAGTGTTCTCTAAGTGTGCTCTAAGTGTTTCCTCAGTGTTTCCTCAGTGTCTTCTCAGTGTTTTCTAAATGTTTCCTCAGTGTTCTCTAAGTGTTTCCTCAGTGTCTTCTCAGTGTTTTCTAAGCGTTTTCTAAGTGTTTCCTCAGTGTTCTCTAAGTGTATTTCCCAGACCTTATCGAAGCCCTGCTGCTCCAGTTTCTTCCCCAGGATTTCTCCGATCCCTGACAGACTCGTCACCGACTTGTCGCCCATTGGCTCGCCCACAAAGTCCCGATGTTTCTGAGACGTGGTCGACATCCTGAGGAGAAAATGAACTGCTTTATAAACACAAACAAATACACATTTTATATTGATGTATTGTTGTTTTTAAAAACCTCCCAACATACACACCAGTGTTTCCCCTAGGATAGCGCTGCTATGAAACACTGCACACTGTGATAATAAGATAAGAGTTTATCATTCATACAATAACTGGAATCATTATCTCCAGGCAGTCTCTCTAATGATGTTTTATAGCAGTCATTATAAAGCTTAGCCTTGGTTCATCACATCCTGTATGTATACTCTGAATAGAGTTAGTTTATCAAAGCAGTACCCTTAGTAGGAAACAGAGAACAAGTTCAGAAAAATAAACAAGTTTGTCTAAAAAGTGAAATTTCAGTTTAGGATTTCTAAAAAAACACTGTTAATAAATATCACACCTTTTCGTCTTTAAACTTAACGAGTGTGTTCATAAAATATTACAAACTTTAATCTTTCTTGAAATGTTATCATCAAATATTATGAGCTTTTTTCCCTCAAAAGATGTATTTAGGTTTTTAGTTTAAATGTGTCTCTGATCCTTCATCTCTTTATGTTTCAGCTCTCAGAGAAACTCAGGGTCATTAAATACTTCCTCACAAAGTACTCCTTTACTTCAATTCTGAGGTACTTGTACTTTACTTGAGTATCTCCATTTTCTACTACTGTGTACTTCCACTACAGTTCAGAGGTACATGGTGTACTTTTACTCAAGTACAAGATCTGAGTACTTCTACTTTTACTCAAGTACAAGATCTGAGTACTTCTACTTTTACTCAAGTACAAGATCTGAGTACTTCTACTTTTACTCAAGTACAAGACCTGAGAGTACTTTTACTTTTACTCAAGTACAAGATCTGAGTACTTCTACTTTTACTCAAGTACAAGATCTGAGTACTTCTACTTTTACTCAAGTACAAGACCTGAGTACTTTTACTTTTACTCAAGTACAAGATCTGAGTACTTCTACTTTTACTCAAGTACAAGATCTGAGTACTTCTACTTTTACTCAAGTACAAGATCTGAGTACTTCTACTTTTACTCAAGTACAAGATCTGAGTACTTCTACTTTTACTCAAGTACAAGATCTGAGTACTTCTACTTTTACTCAAGTACAAGATCTGAGTACTTCTACTTTTACTCAAGTACAAGATCTGAGTACTTCTACTTTTACTCAAGTACAAGACCTGAGTACTTTTACTCAAGTACAAGATCTGAGTACTTCTACTTTTACTCAAGTACAAGATCTGAGTACTTCTACTTTTACTCAAGTACAAGACCTGAGTACTTTTACTCAAGTACAAGATCTGAGTACTTCTACTTTTACTCAAGTACAAGATCTGAGTACTTCTACTTTTACTCAAGTACAAGACCTGAGTACTTTTACTCAAGTACAAGATCTGAGTACTTCTACTTTTACTCAAGTACAAGACCTGAGTACTTCTACTTTTACTCAAGTACAAGACCTGAGTACTTCTACTTTTACTCAAGTACAAGATCTGAGTACTTCTACTTTTACTCAAGTACAAGATCTGAGTACTTCTACTTTTACTCAAGTACAAGATCTGAGTACTTCTACTTTTACTCAAGTACAAGACCTGAGTACTTCTACACTGCGAGGCAGTGCGCATGCGCAGAGAGAACGGGTTTACCTGCTGGAGGAAGCCGAACTCAAACTAAGAGTTTAAAGTAGTGATGGCAGTTTGACTCTGAAGCTTCGATACGTGCTTCAAACCCTGGACTTCCTATTCCATAGAAGCAGTGCTTCAAAGCTTGCTTCAAATCACGTGACATATGACGTCCGAAGCAGCAACTGCTTCATTTCCTGAATGAATCAACTCACTGGTTCGCCGTCCAATCAGGTGATTCAATGCACTGCCTCGTCCCGATTCTGACGGGTTGAAACAGTTTGAATTTGAGCGTCACTCAGTAAGTGACACTCAGTGAGTGACACTTAGTAAGTGACACTTAGTAAGTGACACTTGCTTTATAACCGCTCAAAAAAATGCACAATTTGGCAATGTGTGGGATTGTCGTCGTAGTTTGCATTGTTGCTGTTGAGTTGTTGGTATTGCGTTAGATCATTATGGAGCCAGCCAGGAAGAGAGGTCGTTCTGAGATGTGGAACACTTCAATCTGATAGCGCATGATAAGGTAGGTGAGCTGGTTGTTTAATATGTAACTTAAGAAAAGTAAATCAGAAAATGTCAACTACAGTGTTAAAGCTATGGTCTATCTCAAGTCTATATTAAGTAGCATTTAGAGTAAAATCATGTATATGATCAATGTAGCCATTAGCCTATAGCTTTATAGACTCAATAGCATTTGTAACTTTCTCTACAGGTCCAGTGCTTGGTGTGTTCAACTGAACTGAAGTGTCATGGGAATACTTCATGATCAGGCACTTCACTGCCAAACCTGGAGCTGCTGTGAACCAGGGGGACACAAAGGGTATGCATTATATTAACTAGTAACACTAATATGCTATGACTGTACTCCATGACTCATAAGTTAAGGATAAGGATAAGGATAAGGATAAGGATAAGGATAAGGATAAGGATAAGGATAAGGATAAGGATGAGGATAAGGAGCTTCCTTTGAGAGCAATTTCACATAAATCCTTATTTGCTTTTTTTGGTTTTCTTTGTCTTAGTGGACGGGAAGCGAGAGCTGGATGGGGCTCTTGTGAATATGGTGGAGAAAGACTCGCAGCCTTTTTCCATCGTGGATGACTGTGGCTTCAAGGAGCTTGTGGCCTTGCTTGATCCTAAATACACTCTTCCATCCAGACGGGCTCTAAAGGAGATGGTGGTGCAGCGCTATGAGGAGGAGAAGACGAAGGCCAAGGCTGTCATGCAGAGGGTCGAGGCTGTGAGCCTGACTGCTGATATGTGGACCTCCATTAATATGGACGCATATCTAGCAGTGACCTGCCATTATGTGGATGACTGTATAGCCACAGTGCTGCCTTTCCCTGACTACCTTTCCCTGCTGCAATGAGGTCTCTCATGGAGGAATGGGGCACTGAAGGCAAAGTGACCTCAATTGTGACGGATGCAGGAGCAAATAGTTGCCTCTGTCAGAAGTTTAAATCTAAGGCATGCACTTTGCTTTGCTCATTCACTCAATTTAGTGGTGAAGAAATCTCTGGACGCAAGACCTACGCACAAGGGCTAGAAAAGTAGTCACGTTCTTTAAAACCAGCACATCAGCAAAAGAGAGGATCAGAGAAGTGCAGGAGCAGATGAATCGGCCTGTGCTGAAGCTTATTCAGGAAGTGGACACCCGCTGGAACAGCAGCTACATCATGCTGGAACAGCACCTACGTCATGCTGGAACAGCACCTACATCATGCTGGAACAGCACCTACATCATGCTGGAACAGCACCTACCTCATGCTGGAACAGCACCTACATCATGCTGGAACAGCACCTACCTCATGCTGGAACAGCACCTACATCATGCTGGAACAGCACCTACGTCATGCTGGAACAGCACCTACATCATGCTGGAACAGCACCTACCTCATGCTGGAACAGCACCTACCTCATGCTGGAACAGCACCTACCTCATGCTGGAACAGCACCTACATCATGCTGGAACAGCAGCTACCTCATGCTGGAACAGCACCTACCTCATGCTGGAACAGCACCTACATCATGCTGGAACAGCACCTACCTCATGCTGGAACAGCACCTACATCATGCTGGAACAGCAGCTACCTCATGCTGGAACAGCACCTACCTCATGCTGGAACAGCAGCTACCTCATGCTGGAACAGCACCTACCTCATGCTGGAACAGCACCTACCTCATGCTGGAACAGCACCTACCTCATGCTGGAACAGCACCTACCTCATGCTGGAACAGCACCTACCTCATGCTGGAACAGCACCTACATCATGCTGGAACAGCACCTACATCATGCTGGAACAGCACCTACCTCATGCTGGAACAGCAGCTACATCATGCTGGAACAGCAGCTACCTAATGCTGGAACAGCACCTACCTCATGCTGGAACAGCACCTACCTCATGCTGGAACAGCACCTACATCATGCTGGAACAGCAGCTACCTCATGCTGGAACAGCACCTACCTCATGCTGGAACAGCACCTACCTCATGCTGGAACAGCACCTACCTCATGCTACAACGCCTTTTCAAAGAGAGGCAGTCAGGGGGGGGCAGCTCTTTCGACGCTGAAAACAGACGTGAGACCTCTGTCCTCTGAGGACTATGACACAGCGGATGCATGCCTGCAATTGCTCGCCCCCTTGTTCCAGGCAACAGTAGAACTGTCCGAGGAGAAGAGAGTCT